ATTTAAAAAGTAGCTTTTACCAAAAAAATTGTCAAAACAGTAAAAAAAGTGTGTCACTTCGAAGCCTGAATGTTCTTAAAATTAGGATATTACATACTGAATTTAAGTATATAAAATATTCTGAAATAGGTACCAAGTATGTAGTTTAAAAACATTTTTTTTTTTTTCGGTGATAAAAGTAAAAGAAAAAAGAGAAATGAAAACGAAACATGAAAAAGTAAATAAAGGAGTAGAAAAATGAAAACAAAATCAAACTGAACGAAAAAATGAAAAGAAAAAAATATAGATAATAAAGAAACTTAAAAAAAAATGGAAAAAAATAATGATTGTCCACTTGTACTTATACAACTATATTTACCTTCACAATTTCGCTTTAAGCTTTTTTCTATTTTTGCACAATTTCAAAGGCACTTTTTATAATTAAAAAAAAAAATTTTTTTTTTTTATATTTGAAAAAAACTTCACTAAATCATGTCACTAAACTTTTTTTTCTCCCTTTTTATTACAAGTAACATTAAAAGTTCCTCGTTTTTATTTTTTTTTTTTCATATAAAAATGTCTATGCAGTATTATAATACACCTCTGAAGGAAGTTAATGTATCAACACGATTGCACACGAAAGTCTGCGCTTATCCAAAGAAAGAAAGCTTTTTAGTTCATTGTCTTGTTCCACTTAAAATACTTTACACTCGTCAAATATGCATTAATATAGTTGATGGCGTGCGCGAGCTAGATGCATAATTTTTTTTTTTTTTCATTTTTATCGAACAGGAGTAATATAGCGTGAATTAGTTTATTGAAAAGATTTATGATCCTGCATTATTGGACCAATAATTAAGATTATGATGATTATATTATATGAATAATGAAGGTGCGAGCAGAAAGCAAAAAAAAAAAAAAGGAAAAATAGGTGCTGACGTTTGGCTACAACACACACTCTCACACAAATAACTATTTATTTATATATATTTATATAACGCTATAATGAATTATCTGAAAAATCTTTGTCAGGTCGAGAGGAAAGTTAAATGGAGAAAAAAAATTTTACGCTTTAGTGCTTAAAAACTACTTGACGAAAAGAGAAAAAAAAAGATATATATTTTCCCGTTAGATATGAAATTGAAGACTTTGAACTTGTTCTCATTATAATGATAAAATTATATTTTTTTTGTTGAAAATTTGTCTCTTTTATATTTAAAATTTTATTATTTTCTTGTATTCATAAACCGTGAAATTGTCATTTTTTTTTTATGAATTTAAGATGGTTTTTTAACTGACTAAAATATAGAGTGCTCTTATAAATGAATGACAAAATTAGTTTTAATTGATTTCAAATTGAGAATTGTTGAAAATTAGAACAGTTAATTTAATTTTTAACACACAATAAATTATATTTATTTGTTTATACTTTATTAATTTATTATTATTTTTAATTATTTATTAATTTTTATTTAATATAAATTAAAAATTAAATAATATTTTAATATTTTAATATTTTTTTGTTATTTTATTTATAATTTGATATTAAGTATAATTAAATTTAAATTACTAATAAATTAATATAGATATAATATATAGTTTTGTATTAATAAACTTTATATTATTAAACATTATAATACAGAGATAAGAGATTATTTATTTTCATTGAAATATTCTCGATTTTAGAATTTTTTATATACGCGATTCTAAATGAGTAATTTTAAAAGTAAAAATTCTTTGAAATAAGTGAAACTTATATCTTATAAATTTCATTATGTTTTATTAGATAGATTATTATCAGATAGAATACTTTATAAATTATATTATTATATATACTCTCTAAATTTGAATTAGTGAAAATTTCTATATTTATTTTTATAGTCATTTTTCACTAAAACTTTAGTAAAAAAAAAAAAAAAAAAACAATATTTAAGAAAAGATAAAATATTTATGAAATAACAAATTTTAAAAAAGATTTAACTACTGAATCAAATAGTAATATTTTTCTAAAAATTAGGTGAAAATTGTTACTAATGAATGAATTTTCAGTAATTCATATTTAGAGAGTATAAAATCAATATTAATTTTTCTGAAATCTTATTAATGTATATATATAAAGTAGATGCTTTAGATTTTACACTCAAATAAGTAGAGAATAAATGTTTTCATTATAAAATATTGATTCTTGTTAAATGCTTTAATTAATTTTCTATAATTAAATCTGTTTTAATTAATTTCAAAAATAGAAGCGTTTATGTTTTATTTGTTAAAATGAAATTAGTTTAATTTACATTGATTGATATTTAATTAAATAATTAATTTAATTGTCAGTCAATTTAATTTAATTTGATAAATAATTAATTTTTCATATACTTTATTTAACTTAAATAAAATTTATTTGAATTAAATAAATATTTATTTGGCTCTAAGACAAATATATATTTTCTCTGGGTGTATTTGAAAATAAATTATTTATCAACCAAATGGTATATTAATTTGAATGTTAAATGAATTAAATTATTGTAATTATTGATAATAAATTAAATTAATTCATTTAACATTTTTTGTACTATTGTTAAAATCAATATCTTTTTTTTCTTAAATTGAAAAAAGACATTTGAGTAATTTCAATAATTTCATTTGTATTCAAAGATAATATTTTTCAATTTTTCTTCAATTATAAGAAATAAATTATTTTCTAATATAGTTAGATGTTTTAGTCGTTAAGAAAGCCTTGAGATTTAGGCCACTTGTTATAATGCTTCACTGCTGCATTTGTACGTTTTTTTTTTTTTTTTTTTTTTGTTAAAGTAGGTATATTCAAAATTTCTTTTCTCAAAAAATATAATTCTCTTTGTAAATAATTTGATAATTTTGTAATTAATTTTATATACAAGAAAAATAATACTTTCCTGTATTAAAAATTAATTTAAAAAATTCATATATATTTCTATATAAATAAATAAATTTCCATTTTCGAAAGAATTTCTTTATATTATCGATTTGTTCATGTTTTATATTGTAATATGAATATTATCTTTTTATTCACTGTGGATTCGATATTTTTATGTAAATATAAAAAAATTCAAACATGAAAACATAATTCGATTGTATGAAATTTTAAAATAAAATGTAAATAAAAAAAAATGGAAAAATGTAAATAAATATTGTTAATTAATTATTATATTAAAATATTGTTATAAAGTAATCGAATTAATTAATAAGAATAATTAAAAAATTAATTTTCAAAAAGTTACGTGCCTGAAGTTCTAAACGTTTAAATATGGAAGGTAATTATTTTTTTGTTTTATAAATTTTTTAAAAATTATTACAGCAATGAAAAATAAAAATCTACATTAAACATTCAATGAATTATTTATTTATTTTTCGATACAGAAAGCAATATATTTTTATAATAAAATTTATTTTTAAAAAATTGTAAACAAATTTTTCGTTTATTTTTACGTTCAAAACTTTAGGCACATAAAAAGTTAATAAAAAAAAAAAATTAATAAATTTTCAAAAGTAATTAAAATTAATGAAAATCAATAAAAAAATTAGTTTTCGAAAAAACTTTGCAAAAATTTTATAAGAAAAGAATAGAAAAGAATTTTTTTTTTGAAAATTTTGAATTTCGAAAAACTTTTACTATTTTCAATATCTTTAAATTAAAAGATGCTAATTATTTTTAAAAGGTTTTTTTTTCTTATATATATATATATATTACATCTGGTGCAATTTGTTTCTTTTAAGTTTGACATTGGCACTTTTATGTTACGTAAGACCGGTAATAGCAACTAAACGGATACTAAACCATCGTATACAGGACTTATGGTAATATTAATAGAGTTGTAAATTAAATTACACGCAAATCCGACATTTGAAATGAAAAATATCGAATTATTGTTTTATGTTAAAAATACGATTTTTTTATTCATTTGTAAAATAATAATTATTCAAGTTTATCTTGACCTAGAAAGTATATTATATAGTAAATCTCAGATCTTGCGTGCGATGAACGTTAAGGAACGTATAAATTCGTGACATTAAATGTTGAAATGTTTAACGCAAATGTTTGAACAAATTTTTATCATGCGCTGAAATGAGTATTTTCATACATAATATATTTATATAGAAAACTTTTTTTTTTTGCATTTTTTTTTCACTCAAAAATTAAATACGTTCATCTCCATGAAATATTCAATATTTTTATTTACATTGTTTACGTTTCAAGTAATCAATAACTTAGTTAAACGTTCAAAAGGCGTATATTAATTATTCAACTTACATAAATTTTAACGTCACGGAGATCCAATTTTGTTAAATAAAATATTAAATTCTATATATATGTTAAAAAAAACTGTTTTTTTTAATTAATTATAATTTTTAAAATAACGAAATTCTATTTTTTTTCCTGTTTGTTTTAACAAAAATTGTACATAAAAAATTTCTTTGCGATTTCAAAAAGTAGTCTTATTAAATACTTTTTTTTGTCAAATAAAAAAATAATCTTTCAATAAACTTTTTGATTTCAAGAATATTTAAAATTAATAAATTGACAAATTTTTATTGATTCGACAATTTTTGGAAAGAATTCAAAGAATTAGAATTAAGATATTTAGAAAAAAATTTGTTTGAAATAATTTTGATTGAATCAAACAAATAAATTAATTGCTACAGTTATAACTAAAATTTTTCCTTAATTCAACCAAAATATTCTCTCAATCGAATTCTTTCTTCGTTCGAAAAATTTATTAAAATAAACCAAACCTTTATTTAATATCAAATTAATGTATAACAAAAATTTTTTTAAATAACGAAAAATTGTGTTAATACCAAAAAATGTTATATTTGATTCAAACAAAACTTTTTGTTTTATTTTTGAATATCACGAAAAGAAGAAAGAAAAAAAAATTACTTGAACTTTTTATTGCAATGAAAGTTATTTATTTGTGAAAATTAAAATTTTTATTAAATTTTTTTTTTTTATTAATTTTTGTATGCAAAGTTTTAAACTTTACCCCGGTAAATGAGATCCATATCCTTGCCGGAAGAACTGCTTCCGTTGTTCTTCGGAAACAGGATCAAAACCCATAATTTATGTTGCTATATATATATATTTTTTTTTTTAACACTATATTTATAAATATTTATCACAGAAAAAAAACAATTTTCAACAATTATAGATAAACCTTAAATTAAATTGACGATATTTTTCTTTTTTCTTCCAAAAAATGAAAATACATTAAAATAACAATAATCCATTTGAATTTACTTTAATAGTCAAGTCACTTCGCGAATTTTCAACATTGTTATATCACTGTCATTGTTTATAACATATGTATTATTTATCATACAATACTTCATAAAGGATAATAATGATAATTATAAAGAAACTTTTTCTATTAGAGTAATTTTAAAGTCACGAGGTGTGTAAAAAATAATATCAATACGAGATCGTTACTTCCTGTAAACAACTTGTATTCCACGCGGTTGGCGTGCTAGTGAAATAGATTTGTATACAGTCCGACCTAAGATGTATTTCAAGCGGCGACGTCCTACTAAAAGCGTTAAAGTTCCCCCTCCATTCTTCCGGTGCAGCTATAAGCCGCGCCTATTCAGAGCGTTTTTTTATAAATATATTCGATCATTATATATCCTGGTAATTTATTTTTTATTTATTCTAAAAATTAAATTTTTGTTCGTGTCTTTAGAATTTACAAGTAACCTTACTCTTTAAATCTGAATCAGTCATATTTTACTGATTAGCAGTAGAAATCTACTAATTGCCATAGCGAGAATTGAGCAACTGACAATTAGTAGAAATTTACTGATACAATTAGTAAAATATCAATTACTGATTGAATCAGTAATATAAATATGTGGCGGTGGCCACAAAATCTACTGATTTAATAGTTAATTTTAAAGGTTATGTTATTATAAAAATTACTGATTTACATAAGTTATTTTCTATTACTTGTATATATTCACTAATTATATTAGTAAATTTCAAAAAATAACTGAAACTTCAGTTCAAATAAAAAGTACTGATTGAATTAGTAAAATTTCTACTGATTCAGATTTAGAGAGTACTTGTAAAAGTCCGTATTAATTTTACTTTATTCATTTTTAGGATTCCCCCTACGGGTACACAGAAAAAAAGTTGTAAAGATAGAGGATAAAAGTCGTTAGGATACAGGGTAAAGGATAAATTTGTGATGGATAAAAATGTTACTAAAATATTACTAGAAAAATGGATGTCATATTTGAGTAAACTGTCTAATTTTAATAAAAATATTAGTAATTTTACACTTAACTTATTAAATCCACAAATTTTTTATAAATAAGTAATTGCATGTGGAAATATTTTGCCTATAATTATTGTCTATTAATAAAAATATCTTTGACTAATACAACTGACAGCTGACGACAGTACGTAAATAATCAGAACTGGGAAATTACAACTCAACGTCTGTATTGTTGCACGAAAGCAGAGTTGGGTAGTAACTAAATTTTTTGTGCATATTAAGCTGTGTCAGTTCATCGAGATATTTCGAGTTCAAGATATGACGTCAGAGACCTGGAGGGACAACAAACAGACGACACAATGACATATAATAAAATGAAAATGTGTGTTGATAATTAATTTTGTTATATATTTGATTCATTTGCATTGATAGATTCTCTGATTTCGTGATAAAATATAAATATTGAGGTTAGAAAAGTTTGTTTACTAATCACAAATTTTCTTCCCCGTAAGAATAACATTGTCTCGTCTGCTTGTTGTCCCTCCAGGCCTCTGACGTCATATCTTGAACTCGAAATATCTCGATGAACTGACACAGCTTAATATGCACAAAAAATTCAGTTACTACCCAACTCTGCTTTCGTGCAACAATACAGACGTTGAGTTGTAATTTCGCAGTTCTGATTATTTACGCACTGTCGTCAGCTGTCAGTTGTATTAGTCAAAGATATTTTTATTAATAGACAATAATTATAGGCAAAATATTTCCACATGCAATTACTTATTTATAAAAAATTTGTGGATTTAATAAGTCAAGTGTAAAATTACTAATATTTTTATTAAAATTAGACAGTTTACTCAAATATGACATCCATTTTTCTAGTAATATTTTAGTAACATTTTTATCCATCACAAATTTATCCTTTACCCTGTATCCTAACGACTTTTATCCTTTATCTTTACAACTTTTTACCCACCTTTTTTTCTGTGTACCAGGGGGAACCCTATTAATGAGACTAGTGAAGCAAGGCATGTACCCCTCCCCCCCCCCTAACGGCCACACGAATTTATCTAGAGGGCTGAAATTTGGTACATTTATGTATTTTTACGTGAAAATTACAGAAAAAATATAGCGAAAATCAAATATTTTGAAAAAAATGGTTTAATCTCCCTAGCGCACACAATATTTGACTAAGACAGTTCATATTTGGTATACATACGTATTTTTGCGTATAGATTACAGGAAAAATACAGCGAGCACGATTGGAGTTGATGTTTATATTGTTTTTAAGGAAAACTCATATTTTTAGAAAAAATCATGGATTTTTTTGAATAAAAAAAGAAGAAAATTTTATTTTAAGGTATTCAAATTTATACATTTTTACGTAATTTTACGTGTAGATTACAAAAAACATATAGCGAGAACGATTGGAGATGATTATCATAGCGTTTTCAAGGATAAACTGATAATTTTCGATCTATGTGTCTACGTGTCTATCTATGTGTTTTCATGCTCACATTACAGGAAAAATTAATCAAAATTGGAATTTTTCCATAGGCCTTTACACTTTAACCCCCTCAAATTTTAGGTTTAACAGTACGGAACCCTCGGTTTTAATGCGAGTGTAACTCGTACTTGTTCGATTTTTTTAAATTACTTTATTCATCTACATTTCTACAATTTTTTAAAAAAATATAGTATTACAATTTTTTAATACTATTTATTAATCCTTGACCTGCAAACTTAGACGAAAATTAATTACATTTAACTCTAATAACATATTTACATATTTTTAGATTTGTCGAATTCAGCAAACTCGGAAGAAAACCTGAGTCAAACCTCTTGAAAAATTTTGGGTAGCAACAAATCAGGTAAGTAACATATATAAATATATCATTTTTATTTATAGATACTGTTTACATTTGTATAATATATTCGAAAAATCTAATATAATTCCGGTAGTTGTATTCAATGGTAAAAAGCTGCTAGCAAATGAGGACTATGAAGTATTGAAATAAAAGTAATAATTTTCCTATAATTATATAGTGATCAAATACAAACTCGTATTATTTGTATAACACACACATATGACAATTTTTATTAAGAAACTGAAATATTTGAAACAGAAAATTAAATTTATATAGTAAATTTGACGGCGTGCGGATTAGAACTCTCGTCTTTGGGCACAGAAATCCGGTGTGTATCCTCTGACCTAAAACAGATACATAACTGCAGTTTATTAGAACACGGAAATTTTAGGCAACTAATTGAAAACTCTCGGATATGATAAAATATGTACAATGTACGATTTGTAACAATTGATTGACAAGATTTGAATTATTATTTATTTATTTATTTAGTTAACGGGACCAGCCCTTTCGTACATAGGTACTCTTAAAACTAAGTATGTTTACAATTTAGTAATATTAAGCTAATTAATTTATAGCTAGGTAGGAACATTATTAATATGATTCAATATTAATCTACGCAATAATAAGGTGAATCTGGAATACCTGTCATCAAAAAAATCAATATCATTTGCAACTAAATTTGCCTCTACTAAGCCTAGTAATCAAGGCATTATTACCATAATTAGTTCTGTGATAAGGAACAGAAAAAAGAAAATTGTATCTCCTGGACCTTCCAGGAACTGACAAATTAACCATTGAAAGTAGAGCAGGACAATCAATCATACCATTCACAAGTCTATAAAGAAAAATCAAGTCAGCATAAAGAAAACGCGAAGAGATCATAGGTATGTTAAGTATTGAACGCAAGTTATCATAGTCATGTGAATGAGCATCGTATGGTATAGCAAGCTGTCTTGCTGCAAATCTGAGAAATCTGTTCTGAATACGTTCAAGTCTAATAATATTATATACATAAATTGGTGACCAGATAACTACAGCATATTCAACTATCGTTCTAACAAGCGTCAAGTATAACACTCTTAATGTCGCAGAATTATGGAAAACCGGCGCATTTCTCATGACGAACCCCAGAGATCTTAAAGCTCTTGAGATCACTTCAGATATATGTTCATTATACGAGAGATCACTACACAATAGTACTCCCAAATCTCTCACTCTTGTTACTCTGATTAACTCTTCACCAGCAAGAGTATAGTGATATATTAACGTACTTCTCTTTGAGAATGATATTATATTGCTCTTCTTAATATTAATAGTCATAAGATTACGGTCACACCAATCAGACAGGCGATTCAAATCAGACTGAAGATCCGAAGAGTCCTGACATGGTTGGGAAGGACCTATAATCCTATAACATTTAAGATCATCTGCATACAATAGAAATAATGAGTGAACAAAAACAGAATTTATGTCATTCATAAATAAAACAAAGAGAAGTGGGCCAAGATTCGATCCCTGAGGCACGCCGGAGGTTGCAAAAAAAGGATCAGAATAAACATGCTTTACTTTAACTACCTGACACCTGTCAGAAAGATAGCTTCCTAGAAAAGAAATAAAGCTCTCACACATTCCCATGGCAACAAGCTTCCTCAATAATAATTTATGATCAACTTTGTCAAACGCCTTAGAAAAATCAGCATAGACAACATCAATCTGTTTACCAATCTCTAGGGTGACAGTCAAAAAGTTAGTAAAAACTCCAAGGTTTGTTACCGTAGAGCGACCCCCCACAAACCCATGATGCTCTTCAATAATAGTACTGGATACAGAAACATATAGAATATCAAAAATCAAAATTTCAAAAATTTTTGAAAAAATATTTAAAATCGTAATTGGTCTGTAATTAACAATATTATGTGTTTTTTATATTGTTTATATAAAAAACAATAAAACAACAATACCCCTTTTCCATTCAGTCGGAAAGGAGGAAGAGTTTAATGATTTATTGTAAATAATAAACAAGGGTTCAATAAGCGAATAACCACTTGCTTTAAATAGAGAACCAGGAATTTTGTCAGGTCCTGGACCTTTATTTAGATTAATATTCTTTATCTTATTAAAAATATCATTTCTAGAAATATACATATTTTGAAGATTAACTTCAAAATTATAGTTAAAAGATTCATCGGAGATCTGAGGATGTGATATGGTATAAACCGATTTAAAATGTTTTGCAAAAAGATTAGAAACAGCCAATGGCGTATCTCCATTATCATCTCCAAGAAACATATGATCAGGTACAAAATTTTCACATCTAGATGAATTAACGTAATTCCAGAACACCTTAGGATTAACAGTAATAGAATTTTCAGTATTAATCACAAAATCATTATAACAAATTCTTGATAATTTTTTGCATTCGGATCTCAAATTTGAAAAGTTTAAATAATTGATGTCATTTTTGTTTTTTACATAATTTAAATGCGCAATTTTTTTTCGAGAACCAATCTTTTTAACTCCCTAGTGTACCATGGCGGAAAATGTGAGGTCCTTAAAAATTTTAAAGGCACATAAATATTGAAAATTTCATATAAATAATTATAAAAATTGCTAACAGACTCATCAACATTTTCAGCGTCAAGTATATTATTGTTTAATAATATTTTTAAAATATATATAATAAAATTTATAAAATAATATTTTATTATACTTATTTAAATTATTTATTTAAATTGCAATTTAAAAAAAATTTATTTTGGTACTAAATTTTAAATTTGAATTTAATAATTTCATAATATTCTTTTACACATCTGATAAATAAATAATAAAAATGAAAAAAAACAGTAAAATATTCCTAAACATATACTAAAATACTATTTAAAATTTTTAAACATATCGAGCAAAAATAACAGAGATTTTTAATTTACAAAATATTGCACTCTTTCTCGTAAGCGGTAAAAAAATGTTTCGTTTAGAGTCAAAATTCCTTAAGTATACCATCCAAATTAATCTATTTCCTTGGAAATATTTCTGTAAAATAAACATTCTACTAAATAAAAATTTCGTACCTATAAATTTTGTAAAGTAAAAATTCGTTTTAAAATGAATTTTTTCAAATGCTAATTCGAAAAATGAAGATTTGTAAAAAAATAATTATATATAAAAGAATTCTTTGAAATGAAAATTGTAATTTGAGGGTCTCGATAAAAAAAACTCGACCGCCACTCAGACAGACAAGACCGTTCTAAAGTGAAAAAAAAAATAAAAATTAGAACTACAGATATTCATAAAAGTTTTAACATTTTAGAAAATCAATGAAATTTTTTTATCACAGTTGACCTGGACTGACTTAATTTTTTTTTCTGAATGCCTGTATCTAGCAAGATAAATACCTTTAAAAAATAGCGTCAAAAGTGAAAAATAATGTTTATACTTTATTGTAAAATATTAGTAGTAATAGGAGTAATAGTTCTTCTCTGTTCCGAGATTGAGAAACTATATACTAAAAAACAATTCTATCATTGAAGCTATAGCCGCGGCAGAATCTATAGAGGCGCAAATTTTTTAATAAGAAATATTTATGAAGCCACGATGATGGGAAACAGTAATGTTTCTTGGGAACAATTTATGTATAGACAATTTCAGCGAACCTCTATTCCAATGAATATTCATTGAAAATTTATAATTCTCTGCAGAAAATTCGAATAGAACTTCGTAATCACTTCTTCAAGGATTGATATGAATAAAATAATTGTAAATATTGACTTTGTCAAACGTAAAAAATTTCAATTTTACTCATTCTTCTTATATAAGAAAAGAATGAAAGACATCTTTGACAATCGTTACTTTTATATCAATAAATTTCTTATGTGTTGTATCGGCCAATGGCCATTTTACAGTGCAATACGTAATCTTTTCATTCAATGTTTCATATTTTTAAATCTTATAATATTTTTCATTATTACCGTAATTTCTTTTACATATTTGCCTAAATTAAATTTTTTTTTAAATAACAACATAGCTTCACAAAAGAAAATAAAGTATTGCGAAATCCTTTCTGACTTATTTTGAAGCACTGAACACGAATCCGAATTTAATTATTTTTAAATATGAATAGATTTGATTCCTGACCGATTTTTATAATTTTAAAATTTCCTAAAATAATTTTTCTAAGAGATAATACCTATATAATACTTAATTAAAACTTAATTCCCTACACATAGTTCCACATCAGCTTGCTTTGATTGGAAATTTGTGAGTAGTACTTATATTAAAATAAGTTCCTAAATACCAAGTTTTATGTAAATCCATCAATCATTAAGAAATTTTTGTTTTTTTTTGAGGTTAGGAAAAATCAACTTTTGATAAAGCAAAACTCATTTTTGATTCGTATTCAGTGCCTCGAAATATGTGGAGGGATGGATACTGTAGTCTGAAGGACAAGTAACTTTTTTTTAGGGGAATGTGTAATGATAACAATAGTAATTTATTGTAAATATTTATTTATTATTATTATTATTGATAATATTTTTTATGATAAAAATTTATCATTCTTAATTCAATTCATTTGTGTAATTAAACATATATGTGACGCGCTCCGAAGAAATGTATCTAAAAAGCAACAAATTTTAAGTTATATTTTGAAATTTTTAAGTAAAAATAAAAAAGGGGATCAACTCTCAATAGAAATTATTAATATAAGTCTTTGTAGCGCGCCATATACACACATTTTTATATATAAATATATTTTATCCTTAGATAGGTGGTGCTATTAAAGAACATGACTCTACCGAAAAAGTGATGGAGGGCCTTCCAATAATTTTTACAGGATTTAATTCATTAGTTTATTTTATTGTTTGTTCATTTAAACGAAATATGGTTCGTCTCTAGTACTATTAATTGGTCACACCCCGCATTCTCCTCTACATATTCAATAATTTTTAAAAAATCTTCAATCAACTTTTTTATTTTGTTTTTATTATTTTTCTTATTATATATGTGATTTTCTTTATCTCCTATAAGTCTTAAAAATTATTAAGGATATATGGGAACCTCCCACGTGATCTAGTATGAAAAAATGTGTTTTGATAGTATACATCTTACTCTAAAATGAGAAAAGATTTTTGTCTAAAATATTGAGGGATAATAGATTTAGGTTTAAGAAATCTCGCTGTTCTAAACACAGTGAAACTGTATACGTTTAATTGTACGCAGTTCAACTCTACGCAGGTAAATTAAAAAGTTTTTAACTTTTTATTCGATACAGCTTAATTCTATACTGTTAAATTGTATGCACTTCGATTCTGCACAAAGCAAGTTTCGAAGTTAATAATAACGTTTAACTCTATACGGTTAAGCTGTACACACACAAGGAGCCTCGGCAAAAAGTGCCCCTTTTTCGTACCTCGAATTTTGAAACTTTTTTTATGCCAAATGGTTACATATGATGACCCAATAATCCCTGCAAAATTTCAAGATGAGCATGTGCCCCCTTTCCGAAATACAGGGGGTCAAAGGGGGCCATGTCCAAAATTAGAATATGCAATATAATCGAATAATAATGTTAAAAAAAATCAGACCAAATGGTTCCCTTAAGATTTTCGTCTGCTGATTACGAATCTAAAGTTCGTTTTTAAAAATTCAAAATGTCGGATCCAATATGGCGGACGACATTTTTAAAAATCGATCCAATTGACGTGAAAATCGTTACTCGGGGGTTTTTGGGGTCTCTGATTACGAATGTGATGTCCGTTTTTAAAAATTCAAAATGGCGGATCCAATATGGCGGACGATAAGCCCATTTAAAAAGTAAATGAAACTTTTAATGCGCGTATCGAAATAGTATGTATGCAGTTAAACAAATCTAATAAACTTTAATATTTCAAATTTGTTTGTGTACAGTTTAACCGTATAGAGTTAAACATTATTAATTTTGAAATTTATTTGTGCAGAGTCGAACTGTATACAATTTAACTGTACCTAATTAAACTGTGTCGAATTAAAAGTTTTATTTACTTTTTAAATGCATGTATTGAAATAATCTGTATGCAATTAAACAAACCTGAAAAGTTTTAAGATGACAAATTTGTGTGTGTACAGCTTAGCCGTATAGAGTTAAACGTTATTATTAACTTCGAAACTTGCTTTGTGCAGAATCGAAGTGCATACAATTTAACAGTATAGAATTAAGCTGTATCGAATAAAAAGTTAAAAACTTTTTAATGTAGCTGCATAGAGTTGAACTGTGTACAATTAAACGTATACAGTTTCATTGTGTTTAGCTAGATTGTATACAGTCGATACCCCCCCAAAAAAAACATCCTTTGTTCACATACCCTTAAAAATAAATAATTAAAATGAAAACTACACATATATATTTATTATTTATATATATTTTTTTAAATAAAAATTATTAAACATTTTTTTTTATTTACAGTTGAGTCGACTTTTTAATGATTTCAAATATAATGTGGAATTTTGGTCGTCTAAAGAGGAACAATTAATTATTTTTAATCACGCCAATAATGGAAGGATATTAACTATTTGTTTAATTGGTTGCCAAAATTTATTTGTTATAAATCATTATGATTATTATATATAATATAATAATAATATAATATAATAATATTGTATATAATTATTATATATATATATATATTTTTTTTTTTTTTAATTTTTTTAGGAAGCTTATTTGTGACAGGAATTTTGTTTTTTGGCACGTCATTAACTTCACAAATACTCGATATTATTTTACCGCTTAATGAATCAAGACCAAAAAAATTTCCGTTTCAAGTATATTATTACGTTGATTGTCCCGAGGATTATTTTTATTTTATTGTAATTCATTTTTCATTTCTCGGACTTATCGTAGTATTTATTGTCCTGAGCGCTGAAACAGTTTTCGCTGTTTTCACTGAGCACGCATGCTCTTTATTTAAAATTGTCAGGTAATTTTTTTCAACAATTTTAAATAATTTATTAAATTCTTATTGTACAATAATGGAAAGTTTTTTATTGAATAAATATAAAATTTTTAAATTTCATTTATTAACATATAGAAAATTTTTTTTTTTTTTGCCCTACCCACATGGAAAGTATGCCATTTCAGGCATTTAATGTATAGGCGCAAAGTATACTTTTCCATCCGCTTGTTGTGATATAAGCGGGCGCAAAATAGCTGAAAGTACGCAACGTTTATGATAAACGATTTTTAAAGAAATAATTTTTTAAAATGAAAAATTCTATAATTTTTTGCCTAAAAAATATTTTTTTATAATTTGTTGATTAATGAAAACTACAAGAAATATTTTTTAAGCAAAAAATTATAGAAATTTTTCATTTTAAAAATTTATTTCTTTAAAAATCGTTTATCATAAACGTTGCGTACTTCAGATTCGTCAAAATACCTTGCTTACAGCTTGCAAAAAAATTGTAAGAATGCATTCTAATTTTATATAAAGATCAGTGTTTTATTTATTATAGAGAATTTGAGGCTTGTGCACTTAATGGCACAATTTCCATGCAGGTAGGACGATTATACGAAAATATGGACTCAAGAATATTCTCCACATTAGACTTGTCGATATTTTTGTAGTGTCGAATTGAAAATTATCCAATTTTTATTTAACAGAATTTTATAAAGTAGATTTTATAATGACCCTACTTTTCACATCGAAGAATTTCTAGTTAATTGAACTTCTTTATAGCAGATATTCTAATATTTTTCTCTTCTACCAAAATCGGGCACAAATTAAATTCTTTTAAAAAATATTCTTCACTGTGAAGAAAATCCACAAAAAAATTTTAAGTAAAAAAAAATGGGGTTAATTTAAATTTTTATTATTAAAATAGCCGTCATTTTGTTATTTTTGATCATTTTTTAATTTTTCCAACGGATTTTGAAAGAAAAATGAAAGTTTTTTCAAATTCAAAAAAAAGAAATGAGACATCTAAATTACTTTAAATGTTATAACACTTTAAATTTTTTTTCCTTAAATTTTAGATAAATGATATTTCAGCTTTCCTGATTTGAAATGAATTTGATTTTCATAAAAATTTTGTATTATTGAAAAATTCGATGTATTAAAATACCTCCTATACAAAAGTTCAATTTAATAGAAATTCTGTTAAATCTGAATTTGGTTAAATAGATATTTAACATTTAATTTAACTCATTAATATACCGAAAATAACTATTTTTTTCTTTTAGCTTACAGTTAAAGAAAATTAATAGCGTTAACAGTGAAATTGAGAATATGAAAGCATTGATTTTTTGTATAGAACATCATAATCGAGCATTTGAGTTTGTATACCTATTGAAAATGGTTAATTAAAAAAATGATTGTACCTAATAAAAAAATTAAATTTTTATATACATATATTTTTTGGTTTAATATTTAAAAAAAAATGAAAAGTTATATGTGCCGCATCGCGAAGAAAGGGACCTTGAAGCAAAAAATTGTATGTTCTATTTTGAAATTTAATCAAAAGGTAAAACTAACGTAAACATAACCTATGATTCATTTGCATCTAAGGTACCTTTCTTCACGACGCGTTACATATAATGGGGTCTTGAACATAGTACGTCACGCAATTTTTAAACAATTTAAACCCCCCCTCCCCATATGTCACACTTCGTCACAAAACTTGAACACCCCCTTTCCCCTATTGTCCTCACCCATCATTTGTCATAATTCTTGTCAACTACCGCACTCGAGTTCTAACTTGGCAGCGGTAGTGACCGGACGGAATATGTTCCGGCACTCCATGCATTTACCATTGATTGTGTTCTACCTTTGATTTGTTCAAACAAGTTTTAGTTCATTTTTAGCCAAGTTCTGTGTTTTGAATACATATGATTTGTTCTGCTTTTGAAAGCAACTATATATAACCTTTTTTATTAAACCGTTCGTTCTACCACGTGCTCTCTGAAGTATTCCTCGAAGTTTGTTCTAATCGTGATCCGTTTTGAGTTTTGTTCTATAAGCGAGTGTGACTTCTACCCTCGCTCATCGTAACCTTTTTGTGAAATATCCAAATTTTTTGTGTCACCCTGAGAATCCATTTTATTATTTTATTCTGTTCCGTGTAATTTTCAAAAATTTTACTGGTTTTATCTGAGTTTGAGGTGACTCACTGTTATCGTGCTGTGACCTTTGCTGTTTATAATGCTTTGTGGAACTATGTAAACATCTTTCGTATATCTGCGGTGTCACCTTGCAGTGTTGTGGTCTTCGACAGTTTAATATCTTAACTGTATACCCTTGTTCAAGGTTTAAGTATATTTAAAGTGTTTGAAATCCGGTGTTGACATTTTCCCGCGTTACAAGTACAATTGATGTTTCTCACTCAATTTGAGTTTGTTTCTCATTGTTTTGCCCAGAGGGAGCTTGACTACAGTAGTCTTACTTTAACCTTCCATTGTGTTATTTTTCTGATTGAAAGTTAGAAATTGTTATTGAGATCAATTATATATATATCAATGTATGGCCTATACGCTTTGAATTCAATTCTCACATGTATTCTTCTCATGGGAGTTTATTATGATTCATGAATAGATTCAACGTATAGCAAAGTCATTTTCCTTGTACTCGACTTGTCCGTTTCCAAGCGAACAATATATTTGATTCAATCTCAAATTTCCTATAAGCTGGATTTACTTTGCTGTTGTCTAACCTGTATTACCAACAGTGTAGCATATAGTGTATTCTAGAACTTTTTCGTCTTCTAAGTTTATTGTTTTGACAGTTGGCTAAGCCTCAAGTCATTTAAGAAGAAGAAGAAGAAGAACTACCGCACTCTGTTCTAGTAAAAATTTAGTGACTTTATAGTAATATAACAGCCCTACAAAAAAATTACGGATTCGTTTACCAGCTATGGAGCTCATACACGGAAAGAAAAAAAGCTACGATAACCGGAGACCTAAGTAGTAACTGTCTGATTGTGAGTGATTCTATAGTAGTAGCATTAAAGTTAACACAAGTTGGGTCACAAGTAGTTTTTTTTTTGCATAAAAAATATTTTTTTATAATTTGTTGATTAATGAAAACTACAAGAAATATTTTTTAGGCAAAAAATTATAGAATTTTTCATTTTAAAAAATTATTTCTTTAAAAATCGTTTATCATAAACGTTGCGTACTTCAGTTTCGTGTTAAAACTCCCTACTTTAACAAGTAAGTTTTAACAAAGCTTTTAATACATTTTGTGTTTGTTAGGCAAAAACTACTTGGGACCCACTCTCTAAATCTGAATTAGCGACTATTCGCTTTGAATTAGTGACTATTCGCTTATTCCTAGCGCAGAGTATGCAGCTGGGAATAAGTGAATAATCACTCATTGAAAATTCGCTTACTACTAGCGAATAGTCACTATTTTAATCAGCCCAGAGTATGCAGCTACGAATAAGCGAATAGTCGCTAATTCAAATTTAGAGAGCAAGTTGTGTTGATTTTAATGCTACGCTGATTGGTACCAGTGGTATAGTTATCGCTAATTCAAATTTAGAGAATAATGATCGAGCTCTTCCTCCCAGCTAGCTGCGTGGCGTATTATGTATAAAATAAATAAATAGAAAGAATTTAAGAAAAATGATTTTTATTTAGATTTTGCAGATCCATTGAATCCCTTTACAGTCCCTATTTTTTGTTCATGCTAGTAGCATATTCTGCATTTATCTCTGTTTCTTTAATTGAGGTGAGAATTTCTTTGTTTCTAAAATTGATAATATATATATATATATATATATATATATATATATATATATAAGAATTGTTTATGATATTTTTAAATATAATTACAATTAAATTTATTTATTACAGGTTGTTCTAAATTTTAATAGTTTTGAAATTGCTTTGAGATGTGGGGCAAATCTTATAGTAGGACTATTTTTTATATTTTTAAAAAGTTTTTTGGTGCAAAGATTTATGGATTACGGAACTGGTCTCGCAGATACTATGTATGCATAAAAAAAGTATAATTCACTCTCAATACTTCAAAGTACGATAGTTTAAAACAGGGACCTTCACAGAATCAAAATAAAATTCAAAAACACTTTTGTTTTTATTCTGATCAGAATATCGGAATCAGAAATCAAGTTTGTTCAGTTTTAATTACGAAATCAGAATCAAGAGCCAACTCTATTTAGTTTTAATTCCAAAATCAGAATCAAAAGTCAGCTATATTCAGTTTTGATTCTGGTACCTGAATATAAAGTCTAGTTCATTTAAGTTTTGATTTCGAAATCAGAATCAAAAGTTAACTTAGTTTCGATTCGGTTTAGTGAACGAAACGTATGTAGAATGTACATCTGATTTCGTTTTTAAACGAAACGAAAGTTTGTCGGATTACTTCCGGTTCTCTAACTGAATTAAGTCATATGTCATAAATTATTACGTCGAGTCTTACGCGTTTTAAGTCTCAAGTTTAGAGTCACATAGCGACGGATACTATCAGAATCAAAAACTATCATTATACTTTCGTTTTGATTTCTTTATCAAACCGAAATAAAAGTACATTCTACTTTCGTTTCGTTACAAATATCGAAACGAAATCAAAGTTCGTTTGAAATTAAATTAATTACCTAATAAAATTTATTTTAAATAATGAAACTATAAATTGAATTAATAATTATTCTGATCCCTTAATTTATTAGATACGAGAGTGATTGGTATGAAATGTCAGTGAAAATGAGGAAAATTTTATTATTTATTATGATAAGGAGCAGAACCCCCTGTAAAGTAACTGCTGGCAAACTGAAAGATTTATCTTTGACTAATGTTTGTTCGGTAAGAAGTGTAAAGAAAAGAAATAAATTTCATGCCTTTAAGGCCATGTGGGAAATTCACACGTGATCTAGTATGGGAAAATGTGTTTTGAGAAAACCAAACTTTGTTTAACCTCAAATCTTTTCCATTTTAGAAAAAGTTTGAAAGTTCTAAAAAATGTTTCTTTCCAACATGGCCTTAATATTAATTTTCATAAAGTTTTAAAAAATTACTAATATACTAAAGCCCAAGCAAAAATTTACAACCGGCACAGTGTTGCGCCAGTACTGGCAATTATTGGTAAAGTACTGACCGCCAATATTGAACCAATACTGGCATATGTTTGGGATGATAACATTTATTAGTACTGGTCATTAGTAAAGGCTTAGTACTGGCGTTCAGTACTGATTTAATACTGGAATTTAGCAGTAATTCTGTATTTTGCCAGTACGGGCAAAATTATAGTAACCAGTAATAAGCCAGCATTGGTAGATATTTAAAATTCAGGGTTCTTTTTGCTTTTTACATTACTTGAGCAGCTGGATCGAAAAACCAACTCTTCGCTCGAACCGCACTCGCTCATAGCATTAACTATTAATAATAATAAATTATTATAATAACTATTTTAAATTGTTATTTTTTTATATTAACATTTTACACATTTATCACGTCTATGAAGTTGGCGTCGACGCTCAACGTCGAAAATTATTTTTCACGGGATCAAAAATAACAAATCATTTTTAAAAAAGTTTTTGGCTTCACATAATACCATAAAAAGTATTTCATTTTTGGTCCTGTGAAAAATAATTTTCGGCGCTGAGCGTCAACGCCAACTTCATGGAGGTCAATTTTCATAATTTTTCCGAATACTGGCATTCAGTATTGAATTAATACTGACCAGGTACTGGTTTACCATTAGTGTCTCAATAATACTGGCACAGTATTGGAAAATACTGGCATGCCGGTATTGGCTTGTAGTATTGGCACAGTACAGAATTTAATCCATATCAGTACTGAACCAATATTGGTAAGCCAACTGTCGGCCAGCCAGTATTGGTGCATGATTGAGCCTGTTGTCAATATCGGCGTTTGAAAAAAATTTTTACTTGGGAGTAATTAATTTTTTTCTGTGCATGTAGTGAATAGTAATAGATATTGTTTTAAAAAAATTGTTTTACTGTACGTATAAGAATTTAACTAATTTTTATTTTGTTTCAAGTTACTTCAGGCCTCTTTTTCGTCATTTACTCTGCTAATGTCAGTGGCAACTTGAAAAATATGATTATGCAATTATTTTTTCAAAAAAATGAAGGTTTTATTTCTGCTTATTTTTTAAAAATAATAATTAATTATTAATAAAAAAATTTATTTTAATTATTTATGCCTGTTTATAATATTAAATAAGTAAATAAAATTTTGTGAAACTTTTAAAAAGTCCATACTGTATGGTGAAATAAATCAAAATTTATATATTATTGTGTATATTATAAAAGACATATAAATTAATAAAAAAAATTATAAAATCAAAAAATTTGTTCAAATAATTTATTTTTTCTGATTTTTGATATTATTATTTGAGATTAATAACGTTTTCGATTAAAATTTATCTTTTTTTAAATTTGTTTAAGAAAATTTTTAACGAATCTGAATCAATCTGTTTCCAAGCCAATTATGGGATTGATTCGGAATAAAATTTCAGGATTCAATAGAATTCAAATTTAGTTTAAGAATGAAATGAATTGATTCGAAATGGAAAAACAGAATTAAAAAGAATAAGATTTCAGGTTCAAAATGAAACGGATTGATTTGAAATATAGAATCGAATATATATTCGGATTGATAGAATATTTTATTAAGTGTCACGTCACCATAACTTTAATATTCATATCATAAGAATTCTTTTTTTTAATCAATACCGAGTTGCGATTTCCTGCGACAAACACTCGTACTTTTGTTACGCATCTAAATACTTTTCTCTTAAATGTAAAACTTCCGCCCTTTTGGCGCACAACTGAACATCTTTTCTTTTACATATAAAAGACCAATGAGTATGGTATCCTCCTACGTTCGTATACTGTATTTCTAAAAATATACAAATAGAAGCGAGAAACCTTTTATTACATTAAAAGAGCATAAATGCTACGATTACGAAACAAAAATGCTCTCTTTCTAATTTTCCCTATGTGCTCAAATCAGACGAACCCCTGTAGTGTCTCTCTTCTACAGCTGCGATTGGGATATAGAAATGCTCTTTTTCTAATTCTCCTTATAATATTCAAGTACTAAAATCATATTCATACTCTGTCTATTCTGTATTAAAACGGTACAAACCCCTCTTTTAACGTTCAACTGAGAGAGAAGGTCTCAACTTTTGGCTTCTAATATTAGGGTGGAAATAGCAACACAAGACAATAAAATTTTATTTATTCTCTTACGAAAATTTAGTATAAAAGGGCTACATTTTTACGGAGAGACCAGTTCAGAAATTGCCACCGTACCTGCTAGTTCAGTTCAGAAATTGCCACCGAACCTGTTAGTTCAGTTCAGAAATTGTCTCGAAATCCGTAACATCAGTACAAAATCTTGCAGAATTAATCTGCCCAATTTTATACTCAAGTTGAACTTAGTAGAATCTCTGTGTCAAGTATTAAAAGTTTCTACGTCAAGAAGAACTCATCCAAGTTTTCAAGGCTTTGACTTTCGCATAATATTTGGAAATCATGTATTCTCCCTTTTCTGAAAGAATTTAATTATTTGGGTTTTCATCGCGGTCAACTGAACTCCGGACCTGTGGTCATTACCAAGGCCCGTCAACCTTCATGTGAGTTCTTAAACGATATCTGCTACCAGCCGTTCCTGCTTATATTTAAAGACATAGCAGTAGTCCTTTTCATACAACTTACATCTAAATTTTCAAGTGGAATGCTGACTTCCCCTTATTTCAAGAATCGTTGCTTCAGGATACTCTCTCTTAAAGATCAATTTTATAACTCTAAATGTTTGTCTAAATAAATATGTAACCTTGTAATTAAAAATCACTATTCTCTTTCTTCTCTGTACCCTTAGCTCAGAGCCTTCTGCTCTGTAAATGAAATAGAAATTTACTGAATCACCGAGCGGCCATAAATAAAAGAAAATATTATTTCGTTAGTTATTTCTCTATTTGATACGAAACATAAGTTACATTAAAATTTAGATTCAAAAAATTGTGCAATTTTTATTTATTGGTTTGGACATTGTAAATAATTACACTAAAAAGAAGGCACACCTAGCAATTGTTTCTGTAAAAAAGAAAATTTTTTGCCGAAGTTAAAAATACTTCAGGATTTTAATTTTTCACTAAAAAAAAGGTCCCGAAAAGTTGCAAATTTCCGGTAGTCCTTAAAATAATAAATAAACCTTCAGCAATAAGTTATGTATACCGAAAACCCAAAACTTTAACTGAGATTTTACTTAAAACAATTTTTTTGTTAAGCGCGTTTCACCAGCATTTACAATACCAAATAAGCATAATTCCACATATATGAGAGATTCTTTTTCAATCGCCCCAGCCCAAAAAGTCAATGTTCTGGGATTGGCTTCATACTTTGGTAAATTGTTCTCCTATATGATAGTAATAAATCCCTAAAATATAAACTCATTAAAAAAATATTTGTAGAAAGTAGAGGGGGTTGAAGTTTTGACGTTAAGGGTAACATTGTCATATTTAAATCCGTATAACTATGACAAAAGTTAATGGATTTTAATTTATCTATAATGAATTTTAATGCATTTTTCACGTACTTTTCAAAAATGTATACGAAATTTAAAAAAAAAAATTTATACCCCTTTTTTCAAAATCAACCCTTATTTTTCGATTTTCACCCCTTCGGGTATTTTTTATTTTTTTTTTATTTTCATTGGAAAGCTAAGGTTTTTTCCCATGAGCTATGTAAATATGAAAATGGGACAACAATAATTTTGTGAGAAACAGAATATTAAAGTAGGCGGTGTCGATAAGGAGTATACCTGGAGACCATATTTGAGGATTTAGGTAGGCACCGCCTAATTTAATATTATGTTTCTCGCAAAATTATTGTTGTCCCACTTTCGTATTTACATAGTCATGGGAAAAAACCTCAGCTTTCCAATGAAACTAAAAAAAATTTTTTAAAAAATTCCCGAAGGGGTGAAAATCGAAAAATAAGGGTTGATTTTGAAAAAAGGGGTCAAAAAAATTTTTTTTTTAATTTTGTATACATTTTTGAAAATTACGTGAAAAATGCATTAAAATTCATTATAGATAAAATAAAATCCATTAACTTTTGTCATAGTAATACAGATTTGAAAATGACAATGTTACCCTTAACGTCAAAACTTTAACCCCCTCTACTTTCTACAAATATTTTTTTAATGAGTTTATATTTTAGGGATTTATTACTATCATCTAGGACAACAATTTACCAAAGTATGAAGCCAATCCCAGAACATTGACTTTTTGGGCTGGGGCGATTGAAAAAGAATCTCTCATATTATCATTGTTATTATACTTTCTAATAACTGTACATAATGCTTATTTTAAAATTTTGTAATAATAATTGTTTTTAACAGTATTAATAATCATGGGACAAAATGTCCCGTCTTTAGTCCTAGGTATGCCGGTTCAGATCTCATGTTCTAATAATGATAAATATCTGTAATTTGGTATACTAATTAAACTCAACAAAAAAAATATAAGTCAGAGAATTTTAGCCTTCTAGCTAGTCATTAACGGAAGATACAGTAGTAGTTAATAAAGGAATATTATGAAGAGCACTAAAGGAAAAGAAAATAAGGGCCGGAATAGTGGAAAGAGTTAAAGAAGTGTATACGGAGGTTTGAGCAAAAGTTAGGATAGGAGAGAAAATGAGTAAAGAATTTTGGAAGGGAACATGACTAATGCAGAGGTGTCCACTGAGTTCTACGCTTCATAGTCTTCTAATGGCAGACCTAGAGGAAAAATGAAAGCGAAAAGGAAAAAAGGGGTGGGGTAATATAATTAGTGACGGGAGGAATATACTCTTTAGCTTATGGAGACAATGTAGTGTTAATGACGGAAAATGAGGTAGGAATGAGATTGTTAATTAAGGAATTGGAAGAGTATGTAAGGGAAAAGGATTTGTGGAGAAATGTGGAGAAAACGAAGATTATAAGATTTGTGAATAAAAGAGATAGAAAGAGGAATGTTTGGAAAGTAAATCGAAGAGTGTATAAGAAAGTGAATGAGTTTTGTTACTTACGTTTTTGGTTTAATTTTAATGGAGGACATGAGTTGAATGTGAATAGAAGTGTGGAAAGTGCGAGTAAGATAATGGGGCAAGTATAGAGGATTGGAAAAACAAGGTTCAAGAATGACTGGAAAAAGACATTGTGGTTGTATGATATGTTAGTGTGATCTGTGTTGAGTTATGGAGTGGAAGTATGGGGATGGATGGAAATGAAAAAAAGTGGAAAGATTACATAAAAAATTTTTGCGTTAGCTTATGGGTGTGAGTAGAAATTGTCCACGATATATATTAGCAAAGGACGCAGGAAGGGAGACAAAGAGGATAAAGCAGAGAAGCAGAGCTTGGAGTTTTGAGGAAAAATTGAGTCAGGGTTGATGATCCAAAATGGCGGAGTATGGAGGAGGGCAGAATATGGACAAAAGTAAGAGGGGGGTGGGAGAAGAAGGACAGAGAAGGAATATGGGAAAGAACACGGAGAAAAACTAATTGTTGTGGTTACTAAAAATTAAGTCCACACAACAATTCCAGATTGTCAATATACTCTCTAAATTTGAATTAACGACTATTCACTTATTTGTGGCTGCATACTTTGGGCTGATTTAAATAGACAAAAAATAATTGTTAAAATGGGATTGTTATTAAAACTATTTGGATTGTTCGGTGAACAAACAGAATTGTTTAATGAACAAAGAAAATTGTTAAATCGGCGATACAATTTGTTATATTAACAAAGCTTTGATCCGCTCTCTAAATCTCAATTAGCGACTATTCGCATTGAATTAGTGACTATTCGCTTATTCTTAGCGCAGAGTATGCAGCTGGGAATAAGTGAATAATCACTCATTGAAAATTCGCTTACTACTAATGAATAGTCACTATTTTAATCAGCCCAGAGTTTGCGACTATTCGCTGGCAATCAGCGACTATTCGCTAGTAATAAGCGAATTTTCAATGAGTGATTATTCACTTATTCCCAGCTGCATACTTTGCGCTAGGAATAAGCGAATAGTCACTAATTCAAAGCGAATAGTCGCTAATTCAGATTTAAAGAGTATAGGATGGATTCTGAATGAGAATGGTCAAGATGTGAAATGGATGCATAAACTAGAACAAATAAGAAAGAA